TCTTCATCCGCTCTACACTATGTTTTGTTTGTATGACTGCCATAGTGGAAAACAACTCGTGAAGATAGACCGACTAGAAGAGCGAGGTGTGCAAGAACGCTGGGACCCTTTTTCCACCTGGATCCCCGCTCTTTTTCGCCCTCATGTCCCTCCATTGTCACACAAACTTGCCCCCACTTCCTCACCGCCTCGGCTGTATCTAGACCCACAGCTAGTTCCTGATTGTCCCTCTTGCGTTGTGGCGTGGAATAACATAGCACAGACCACGCTTTAAAATTGGGCATAAATCTAAAATATCTGCGACAAGCTCACTGCGACACACTGCTGCGGGAGGATAAACAGTCCTTAAGGCTTCCTCCCACAGTCCAAAAACATGACTGTTCTGTTAATTGGTTCTCTAAATTGCCCTTAGGTGTGTGTGTGTGTGTGTGTGGTTGTTTGTCTTTTTGTGTCTATGTGTTGCCCAAGGATGCACTGGGCTTCCTTTAGGGTGTACCCGGCTTCTCGCATATAGACTACCAAAGATAGGCACCGGCCCCACAGTGACCTGAGAAGATAAATAAATGTTAAATCTTTGGGAGCCTCTGCTCTCTGGGAAATATAGGTGACATTTCTATAGAATTATCAAAGATTTGTACAGTTTTTCTTTTTTTCAGTTTATCTACAGCTCTGTTTAAAGTCTCCACAATGAGACGCATTCTTGTCCTTCAAGCAAAAAGCAGCCTTATTATTCTCAAAGTTCTAAGAAAACCATACGGCCACTTATGAGAAAAGGAATTTCAATGAGTTTGTTTTCAAGGATTGTTTCCAGGTATACCTGCTATGAACAAAACATCTTCCTACAGACGGAAACATAGAAAGAAAAGAAAAGTAAACAAGAAAGAGAATAGTTTAAGTATAACAGAACTTTATGGAGCAGAAAACAAATAGGTCTGTATTTATTTCATAGCTCTTTCATTTCCAGGGTCTACGTGAAGCACCTCATATCACCTTGTTTGTTTCCCTCCCCGTTGAGCGGTGGGCAAACCTGAAAAAGCAGCCGTCTAAGAACAACCTTCACAAAGCCAACATCTGCAGCACCAGAAGATCTGAACTCAAACCACAAACCCCCACTGGCAGCCGTGTTTTCAGCCTCACAGTGTGATCGCTACACGCCGAATTTCATAACCGTTTCCCCGTTTTGGAAATCTAGGGCTCTCAGGGGGGTTTGAGGGTAGACGTTTAGATAATGCTGGTGTTACGACACACCATCTAGACAGGAAGGTGGAAGCTACACGGCTGCGTACCATCAGCTGGTCTCGCCGTTAGAACATCTTGGACGCTGGAGACTTCACAACGAATTCAGAAAAAGGTTTGATGGTTACTTGAAAACAGCAGAAACAGGTTCGACGGAGCGCTGCAGTTTTTTTTTTTAAAACGCATGCAGGGGACACCATCGGCTTTGAAAACATGTATTCTCCTCATACTTTTCGTCATTTGCAACCTGCTTCCTGCTTTTTACCGTACTCTTATTTAAATAAAATATTTTTGATACAATTTGCATAAATCGTAACCTAAGTTGTTCCTCTTTGAGAAAAAAAAAATCCCTCCTTGCCTTTAAAAAAAAAAATCTAACCAAACAGTTTGTATTTATATTCTTTAACTGGCTTTTCTGAAATAACCCCTTTTATTTCTTTTTATTCTATATTTAAAAAAAGGACTTAACTGAAATTCAATTATGCTATGCATAATAACTTCAGATTTCAACCTTACACACAAACACCTTTACTCACTAAATTGCAATTATTGTGTAGAAACTAAGACCAAAGCTGTTTTTTTTCTTTATGCTAAATAAACCATCGTGTCTCTGGGGATGTAAAAAAGCACTCAACACAAGGCTTCCTGAACTCACACATGACTGCTAACCACAGCACTTGCACTGTTTATTCAGTATTATTCATGCAGCCCCCCCTTCTCTTCCCACATCTAAGATGTCAGCACTGTAAGCTGCTCAGAGAGCCTCATTCTCACAAGTGTTCTTAATTTAACACCTTTAACTGAACCACATTTGATGATTGATGAATATGACAGTCTAATATCTGATCTTTGAGTTGGGGCACTGTCCCAGGCCTGCTCTGTCCTTTTCTTTAAGCTGACAGCTGGAGCTTCAACAGCAGCAGAGATAAGAATTCATAAGCATGAATGTTCCAATTAAATGTGAGGGAAACCTAAAGACTGGCTGATCACTGATATCAAAGCTTGAAAAGTCTGGGATACCCGGAATACCTTTATGGGCAGAGCACAACACAAAAGTGTTAGTGAACTTTTTTCATGTAGCATTTATAGATGTTTGAGATCGGCCTGTTTTTCAGTGTAGTCCTGTTTCTCTGACTATGGCTGGCTGGATGTGCTCTCTTTATCCTCTGACATGGAGGCTGGCTCGGAGCTTGTCTACCTGGCTGTGTGTTTCCTGGATGGGGCCGCCTTTAATAGTTGCCTTTTTTATGTCTGCTTCTGCCTCCTTTAACCCCAATCGGCCTCTGCAGATTGCCGCTCAAAGTGCTGGAGGTTTCTTCCAGTTAAAAGGGAGTTTTTCCTCTCCACTGTCGCTACAAGCATGCTTAGTTTGAGGGATTGCCTTCCAGTCAATGAGTCGATGCAATCAACTGGTTTTCCTTAGATAGAAAACTTTCAATCAATTTGACTGGATGATCTGGTGAACCGTTATAGAAATAAACTGAATTGAATTGAACCGGGGCTGCAGATTTAATTCAATTGAATGAATCAATGCTTTACTGATCGAAATGGGAAATCAAAAGTAATAAGTCATGTTTCTATTTTTCTTTATAACCACTTGTTTTAGAAGGTATCTGCTGTAGGCAGGAAGATTATCTGTCTTGCAGCGGATCTGGAGAAACATCTTCCTGAAGACACTGTGTTGTTATTTTAACAATCCCAGGAAGAGAATGCTGGCTGTTGTCCATAATCTTCATTTTATGAGGAACTCATTATTGTAAGGTTCTGGAGGAGTTTATAAAACAGATCCTTTATCAGCTTGTTGAGCCTCTTTAAGGTATAGTGGAGGATTTCCATAAATTTTTGGAAAAAAAATACACATGTGCAACCCTGTACTTGCTCCTAAAAGGAAACACCTATAAAACATGCACAAGCCCATTTCTCATCAGGGAGATGCAGGAACACGATAAGATGGTCTCTCAGTTGGATCTCATCTCACCCATATTTAAATATAAAAAAGTTTCCCCACAAATTAGACTACTGGTACATAAGAAATTCTAGTATATGTGTCTGTGCTTCAGTGGAATTTTTTACGCGTTTGTGGGGTAAATACGGATCTGTGGACACTGTTTAACAACTGAAAAAGCAAATTACAAAATAAATAAACTTATCTTCCTGGGAAAATTACAATTTAGAGGTAGATAACTTCTACTAGCAGTGATGTTAAATAGATTTCTCCAAATACTTTGCCAAACTTTACCTGTCGAGTAGAAACTTTGCAACCGAGGCATCAGTGAAAAAGCCTTTCTCTTCTTCTCATACACTTTATAGACAATTTTTCTCTTATGACCCTCGGTTATTTTCAAAGAAAGGCGAGCTTCAATGACTGTCTGAAACTGTAGCACACCACACATAATCACCTGAAACTGCGCAGAAAAAGATAGCTAACAGGACGAGCACGTAGGACGGCCTTACATAAGAATGATTGACAATTAGGAGGACTACTTATTTTGATGATCCACCCGAAAAAAGAAAATCTTTTAATTGAAAGCTGATTAACAGGTTTTTGCTGAACTGCAATCATCAGCATCAGCTGTGCTGAAGCAGGGAAACCTCTAAAACCTGCAGGACTGCGGCCCTCGAGGACCAACTTTGGGGATGCCTGATGTAAATGTTTAATACGAGTTAAACATCAACCAACAACAACATTCTAAATTTTAATACACAGACAAACGTTTACTGTGCATCTCCACACCCATCTGTCATTCCTTCAGCTCTCCATCTCGCTCATAACTGATAAAGATATATAAAATGTTGATGGCAAAACTCTAATTTAACAAAGTCAAACAGACCCAAAGCCAAATATTCCATATTTGGTGTAATAATGAGTTTCACCGTTAGAGGAGCTTTGCTGAACTTTCTATTTTCTGTTCCAGATGTTATTTGAATAGCAGCTTGATCTCCAATTGTTCTTTCTTTAGATAAAATAACAAATGAAACCAGCATTCTCTGGATACAGACATACCAGCTGCAGGTGTAGTAACCAATAGTTCTGTCCTCAGCGCATAAAGGTGTAATTTATAATTGCAGAGTTGCAAAATGTATAATGATGTAGCCTAAAAATGGACGATTGCTGCTAAGTAACAACAAATGCAGTCATTTAGTAAAAAAATAAGTTTGGATAACAGATGACTGATGGTGCAAAACTCCTACGTCAGTCAGGAGCATTGCAAAAATGTGTTCTTAGAGAAATAGAAAAATGGTGAATGTGACATTTTCTGCTAAATCATAAGAACGGTTTTTGCATGAGGTCCATTGAGTCGATGCAATCCGCTGGTTTTCTGACTGTATGATCGGGTTGGGTTGTCTCTGTAAATTGCCTTGAGATGACATGGGTTGTGAATTGAAGCTAAACAAATAAAGTCAATTGAACTGAATTGGGGATCCTTTCTTTAACAGGGACAAGAAGCTGATCAGAGAATACAGAGCAGTCAATGGGAGGAAACCCCTGAATATTTTTTGCAAACCACTCTAAGTTTATTTATCTTTTAGATCTACATGCAACAACAGGTTTTGTCAACCTGAAAAAAACTAAAAGTATGAAGACCTCCTATAAAAACAAACCAAAGGGCCTGTTAATGTCAGACATGCAGGTTATGTGCAACCGACGAAACATGCACGGTCCGTCGTCAATCTTCACGTAGCCACAAGCACCTCAAACCTGATGGTTCAGCACATGATTACACAACAAACTAGCTTTACTGGTGTGTTCTTTGTGTTAATACCTGCAGGATCAGACTGGGTGCCCTCTCCTATCTGTTTGAAAGGGTTGAATTTGGGTTTGGGTGCGACGACGGGGGCGAACTTCTTGGGGGCCTGCTGCTGAGAGATGGAGATGCTGGCGCTTCCCAAAGATGGAGTGGTCTCCATCCTGGCAGATATCTGTCCGCTCTGGTCATTTGGTGGGTTCCACATGGCTCTGAGGGGGGAAAAAACACATTATGAAATCATTCTGCGGAATCTATCTATAAAAAAGTGAAGTAAAATCTTTCTGGGCACAAGAAGTGGAAGTAATTATTTTGTGCATAATTTAGATCCCCTTGAAACCGCACTATTGTGAAAGATTTTAAAGCAACTGCCGTAAAATACGAAAAGGAGCGACCCGGGGTGCGCTTGACATGTAACAATGTGTCCGTTCTGATAAAGAACCTAAGCGGAGAAGGAAATCGCTTTGAACCCAGACTGTGATCCTCGTCTCTTTGCCTGCACACCATCAACAAATCAAAAGCGTGATATGCGAGACAAAGAGCTGTGAAAACAAAGTATTTTTTTAAAAACAGAAGGAGTATTGAAAAAAAATGATGTAATGCATATGTAACCAAAAACATTTTTCGAGTGTTGACAGCTGTCAAAAAGAGAAGATAGGATCAGTGTGGGGGAAATGTAGATCATTCTGATATATAAACCATGAAGGAATTCAATTATCGTAGTATATCTGTGGGGTTTCTTTCCTCTCTGAATGTAGAAACTAATTAAAATCCATTTTAAAAAGTGCCAATCTGCCCCTCGACCTGAGAGCTAATAAATATGCTGACTCCATTTAGATAAGTTGCATCCTGTGTAAAACAGTTACAGTACAGACAACAGCATCAGAGATTAATACAACTTCCAGAGGCTGAGGACACAAACATCCAGTATTTCACCAGAACCTTCTGAAACCACTTGAAATATTTGAACTATTTATGTGTGGCGCTGTCTCTCCTGCTCTTTCTTTTTGTTTGTGTTTGTTGTTCTGATGTTTTTGGGTTTTGTTTTTTTTTTTTTGCTCTTTATTATCCTCGCCGTGTCTGATGCAGGGTTGGCATTCTTTCTCAGGAGCGCGGCAGACGAGCCCACGCGCAATCATCCTTTAATACCTGCTCAAATCCCCCCGCTCCCCCTTAGTTATGATTTCTTTCCTTCTGCTCTGTGTATGCTACACTACCCACCTGTCTTTTCAATTCCAATTCTGCAATTTCTCAATAAAACGATGACAACAGAAAAAAAACGTGGATTAAAGCTTAATCCCTTGGGGTGAGGGTCTTACGGTGTAATAATTGATCTGAAAAAAACCACAAGGAAGAATGCCACGAATGCTTTCAGTCGGTCAGAGCTCTTATTTATGGGAAAAATTGTCTGAAGACCAAAATCAGGTGATTTTCAATCTGACTGGCTGCCATTTCTGACAGTTAGCATGGAAAGGATGAAATCAGCACCCAGTAGGCTGCATCACACACTCTTCAACCTCTGTAAGTTTTCACTTCTTTCAGGTCGTTAAAACGTTTAGAAATGATTTCAGGGGAACAGAAGGGCTTTAAAGGGTAACTCACCCCAAATGAAAAAATAGCCCCGCCCCCAAACCAGTTCTGAAAAATGTCAGTGGAAAAAAGCCCTGAGGAGTAGGGTTAAGTTTGGGGATGAGCGTTGGGGAATTTAGTGAGGGTGTGGTCTGGACCAGAGAAAGGGGCAGCTAGCTTAACTAAGCCTAGCTTAGCCTTATTGAAGAATGAAGAGTGAGCAGAGGACGTTGGCAGTAACGTCGTAAAAACATCTCCAAAGGTAGAGGATTTTTTTGCAAGATTGCAGCCTCTACTTCCTGCTATGCATGATGAAGTAACGTGGACAACATCGTAGGACGGCGATACGCCTTGCTGTGCTTGATTAATTAGCTTCAAACCAAATAGAAACAGCACAAATGCGCATTTCCTTTTTTCAAACTTAAAAGTTGCTTAAAATTTTGATTTCAGTTAAATAAAAACAACTATTAAGACGCACCAACCTCCCAAATGCAGGTGGGTTTCAGCACTCTCGGGTTGCAAAGTTAATCCCAGTGGGTTATTTTGGGGGCCTTAAAATAATAAATTGAAATGGGATGGTATAATATAACAATTTCCGCCTGCATACAGTGTTTGCTCATTGGTTCGTTCATGACAGACGCCACTTTAGACAGGCGCTCCCTTTGGAGAATAGTTTGTGAAGCAGTGGGGGCAGTAATGTCACAGAATATTTATAGTGTCAGACAATTTGGAGAGCAGATAAAAAGTCAAGCTGAAGATGAAACAACGGAAGGGAAGAAAAAGGCAAAGGACATTTGACAAAAAGTGGAAGAGAGCAGGTTGACAATGGTGGTATAAAACACCTAGAAGAGAAGGTAATGAACTGCACGGTTTCTCTGAGATTTTTGAATTTTCATTCTCCTGCAGATGTATATTTTTTGGGTTCCTTTAGTGCTTAAAGTGCCTATAAATAAATAATGAACTAGAAAAGCACTGGGAGAGCACAGACCTCTTCCAGGTAGCTCATTTTCCATTGATATAGTGTGACTTCCACCTCCAGTAAATACCTCCATTCACAGAATCATTCAAAAAATTCCTGGATCCAGATGGTGATGCAAATAATCAGCAAAATCAATTCAATAATTTGTTGGCATTCACAATAAGGTATTTTCTGAATAATTCAGCAAAATCATTTTAGTTATTTTTGTAATGAGGCAAACCAACACCAAATGTCTGAGTGAGAAAACTTTATACCCAAATACAGAGCTATGATGGAAAAAAGCCTGTACCAGCATTTACCGAAAATTAAACTGCAATAGCTACTGTTTAACCACTTGGAGCAGCACTGAGTAGGCTTTGAGACAAATATTCTAGAGCTAAAACAATGTAACTTCAAATATAACAAATAAAAACTAGCTCCTCATAGCCCCAATTTATACCATTTATCTGTAGGACAAGGTAAGTAACCTAAGAGAAGCTAAGACTAAAAAACTTTTTTTCAGGACATACCAGCAGCTAAGACTTTGAGAGAGATCATGACTTTGGGCTGGTAACAGAAAGGCTAAATATGCTAAATGTTAAGTACTGCTGCAAACTTAACCATTTTATCATCTTGAGCTTATTGTTCAGACATTTCCAGAATACAACATTGCAACCATTGTAGTTTGTTTTCCAAATGGTAGCCACTAGGGGTGCGCAAAATAATCGTCATATCGATGCATCGCGATTCTAATTCTTGTGATCTACTGCATCGATTCTTGATGGCGAGAATCGATTCTTAATTTAAAAAAAATGAACAAATAAAATACATTAATGGTTGGCGCACAACAGCCAAATCAAGTGGAATACAACTTCCAGTCCAGCAGATGTTGCTGCGGATGTGTTGACGCCCGCTGCTTTGTGTCACTAGCATTTCCGGCCGCGGGATACTGAGACTAGTCATTCGTGAACAAAACATGGAGGTGCCTGAGAAAATTCGCCCGGCTCCATATCATTTCAAGTCAGATGCTTGGATGCATTTTGGCTTTAAAAACAAAGAAGGTAAAAATGAAATTGATATGATGCACGTCATTTGCAAAAGGGGAAATATACATTTGAATGTTTTCGTTTCATTGGTTTAAAGGACCACTGAGGCCATTTAAACGGCACTGATTATCCTTATTTTGTTATTTTAAGCTTGATGAATCCTAAGATCTTTTTGTCAGTGTGTCCACACCAGTAATAGTAATATTTTTGTCCAGTATTTGTTTTCATGGCAACACCTCCAAAAGTCGTTCCAATAAATACAGCTATGTATGAATTCAGTTGCTTTTAGTCATGTATCAATTGAAGACACGATCCAGATCATACCCAACCAGTCAGCCACTGGTTTTCACTGAACACTGTAAAAATATCGCAATGCATCGCAATATTTCAAGTATCGTGATGCATCGTGATAGAATCGCATCGTGGCATGTGAATCGTGATTCGAATCGAATCATGACTTCTTTGCCAATACCCACCCCTAGTAGCCACCCAACTACAACTGATATGAGATGCTAAACCTAGCAAGAAACGTCAGCTTTAGGATCATTCTGGTGGTATTACCTACTTCTAATATTAGGGATGCACGATATAATCGGCCCCCTATCGGTATTGGGCTGTATCGGCCTTAAAACTGAATATCGGACATCGACTGGAGTTATCGGACATCGGCCACCCCACCTATATTTAACCCGATATTTGATCAGCTTCTGAGTTTTTAAAAAAATTAAAAATACTTCTTCTTCTTCTTCTTCCTCAAAAACTTATTTTTTACAGACTTAAAAACTTCTAAAGATGAGGGAAAAAATATTGATACATTGAAATATCCCAATATCTTCATATGCTGATATATTGCCATCTAAAAACACCATATCAATTTCTTTTACTAATGAAATATAGCTATATGTCATCGTTATGCTACGAAATCCCTCGAAAATTCACGAAATTTTGCCATATTTTTATATGTTGATCTATTGAAGCGGTATCGATCTATTTTACTAACAAAATCTCACAAGAATTTGCCAAAATGTGATGAGAGTTTGTAACAAAACGATGAAATTTCGCGAGATTTTGAAAGTAAAATAGATCGATACCGCGTTTTCAAAAATCAATTTGATATCAGCATATGAAAATATATTTGTGTATATGATTTTTCAAAGTGTCAGAAATGGATAACAAAACTGCTATTTTCAATGACTACTTATTTTTGTCCAGCTTTAACATCAATATCGATATCGGTTATCGGCTACATTAGTTTTAAAATATCGGCATATCGGATATCGGCCAAAATCCCAATATCCTTGCATCCCTATCTAATATTAATAGTTTATGGTCATTCATGCCAAAAGGGCTTTTCTCTGTGCTATTTATATAGATTTTGTAGTAACTCTCAAAGAGATATAAGATTTGGTTAAAAGCTGCATTGGCCAATCAAAGTTTTCTAAGTAAAATAGGGGCAATTTATATATAAAAAAAGAGAAGCTAGAGTGCAAAGAAAGTTACTGTGGATTATTAATGGCCTGGATCAGACCAGTGAGGTCAAAGCTCTTTGCTTTGGTTCACGATCCACAGGCTGAAAAAACAACAACACAACTATATATATTCATACACACTTTTTTCCCCCCATAAGTTTTCAACACGA